CATTTAAATGACATGAATCACCTTCAATTTTGCCAGCATCCTGTAAAGTTATCGGCTTGCCTAAGTGCTTCGGTTAACAGAACTGCGTCTCAAGAGGACCGGGAGGAGGAAAGAAAGGAAAAGGAGTCCATTTCCACCAAAAGGAGCTGTACATCGGTTTAGTTTATAATCAGATACCCCCTGATCTCCTAATTCAATTTTTTCTTGCTTTCTTGCTGCTGAGTAGATAATCCACAAATTAGGGAGGATGGAGTTTAATGCCCAGGGAAAAACCTCTATAAAAACAATTGTCAGGGTAGTCTAATATTCTGCTTTTCTGATCTTTTTTCACTTAGGGTGATCTGGCAGTAAAAGATCAAAACAGATTCGTAGGAAGGCACGTTCCTTCATGCAAGGAGCTCCTTTAACAGTAATGCTCCTTCCAAACAAAAATAAATGAGTAGAAGATAAATGCAGCAATAGAAATTTAATTGCTTATGATTATTATTAAGGATACAAAGCCCTAAAAAGGAAGTTGTCTTTTCCTCCCTGGCTCAGGGGTTATTTATTATCTTACACTCCACTTGAAGAACACAACAGATTTACTTTAATTTATCAGCTATTTTCAAGGAAGATTTGATATGGAGCCGGTCGGGCTGGTAGAGGAGCGTAGCTAGTTAACATGGTTAAGCACAGCACACTGTAATGAATCAATTTGTTTCAGACAACAGACATAATTAGCATGGAGCTAATGGGCACACCGCGGGATGCGGGGCTGCAGCATCGTCCCTCGGCTGAAAACGTCGTCAGTGGCTGGAGCCGAGGGAGGGGCTCGGAGGGGTGTAATTCCCATTCCCTCTCCCCATCTCTGAGCACGGGGAGGTGGCTGGAGAGGGCTTCCCATGGTGGGGGCTGCCCTCCAGCCCCCCACGAGGCTTCACTAGCTCAGGGACAGCTTGCCCTCCGTCCCGGTGTTGCTCCCACCAGGCTGGTGGTCCGTAGCCTTTCTCTGGGGTGTGCTCCATCTCGGTTGTGCCCTCTTCCCAGGGCCTCCGCTCGCCGGCTCCCACGCAGCGAGCGTTCAGCAGCGCTGATTAGGTGCGAGGGAGGTATCTGCAAGGTCTCGGATGGAGATTGACCCTGCGGAGGGGGGAGAAGGGAGATCGCATTCCTCCCACAGGATTGTTTGCTGCGAAGTCTGAACCCTTCTGCGTCTCCCCAGCCTCCCCCCAAGGGTCACTGGCTTGCTGGCCAAGGTGAAGCAAAGATTTCCCTGGATTTTCTCCATCAGACCAGGCTCTTTCCACCCCCAAGGGCTGGAGGCAGGCGGTAGGGTGGGAGCCAGCCCCTCACCATGAGGCAGACCAGGTCCCCGCAGCTGGTGGAAGGAGGTTTGGAGTCAGCGCAGCAAGAAACCGAGCAGGAGAGGACACCTGGGACGTGGCGATGGATCCCAGGAGAGATGAGGAGGTGGCGTGGGATGGCATTGGGAACCTGCCAGAGATGCAGATGGTGGGACTGGGAACCTGCCTGATGGTCTCAGCCTTGTGAAAGGGGCCAGAGTGGTGCTGCAGTTTTACTCATGTGTACCCTGGGCTCTCTCGGAGATTAGCCACTCGGCTGTGAACTGTCTACCTGCAGCGGGACCACGAGCCGGGGCTTGTAGAGGTGACACTGCATGAACGCATGCTCTGTGTCCTGGGGGTTTCCAAAGGGTTAGTGCATTCAAAGTTATTCTGGCTGTTTGATGTATTCTGTGTGTGATGGGATTAATGTATTCATCGCTTGCTGGAGGAAGGAGCTCTTCTTTCCTGGGATTTCTCCTGTGGAAGGGCTGCTGGAGCCACGTGAAAGAGGAAATATCTTACAGATTAAAAAAAAGGCAAAAAAAAATCAGGTTTTCCTTTTGGGTGTGGGCTTTTCGCTTCCGATTTTCCCTTTGAAGCTGGAGCTGCTCTAGCAGGGGAAGGTGTCTGCCAGATGCACAGGGCACTTGATTCCATGCTAACAAGTCCGAACAGGCTTGGGAATGGAGCAAGCTCAGCTCCAGGGTGAAGACAGCAGACAGCCATCTGCCTCTGGCCAGGCCCTTGCTCCCTGGTTGTCTTTCTCTGAGCGTTTAGGTACACTGTGACACACAACTCCTTGCTTGCCTCCTCCATTCCCAGATGCCTCGGGAAGACATCCCTATGCGGATTGTCCACATGCAGAGGTGACATGGGATAGCTTCCAGGTGTGAAGTAGCAGGAGGACATGGAACTGGAGACCTGCTGCCCCATAAAGACTGCTCTCCTGCTGCAGCAAACAGCCATGACCAGCAGTTCCTCCTGTTTCGGACATCCAGTCGTACCAGTCCCAAAACCAATTGTGTAGATGAGGTGGGCGCTCTCTGGCCCACCTTGTTTAAGCCGTGTAGGTGCTGGTGCCTGGCAGTGTGAAGCACTACAGCATCACCCTTTCCCCACGTACCTCCTGGCAGGGCAAATCCAACATGTACCTGGGAAGATGTTGGCTCTGGGAGAACGTGGAAGAAACGTGATGGGGAGGGAGTCAATCGCACAAGGTTCCTGGGGGAGGGATGTGAAAGAGAAGAGGGAGCTTGTGGTGGTTGTGAAAAGGTGGGTAGGGTGGGAATTGAGAAGAGAAGGATGGACACAAAGAAGGAGTAAAAGTGATGTGGAGGGAAGCAGAGGTTAAATCACAGAGGACATGGAAGGAGTTGAAGGTGACATGGAGATGCCCTGGGGCAGTACAAGCAGAAGGTGATTACAGAGGTCCAAGTCGGGTAGGCAAGAGGAGGACATTGAGAGAAGGCAGGGTCATTTTGGTGTTACTGATTGGGAACCCCCCTGCTAATTCCTACTGTCTGTGTTTTGTCCTAGGGCACTAAATGAGAATATGGCCAATGGCATTGAAGATCTTATCGGGATCCCATTCCCGAACCACAGCAGTGAAGTCTTATGTGGTTTAAATGAGCAGCGGCACGATGGTCTCCTCTGCGATGTCATCCTCATTGTACAAGACCAGGAGTACCGGACCCATCGGTCCGTCCTTGCTGCCTGCAGCAAGTACTTCAAAAAACTCTTCACTACCGGCACTTTAACAGACCAGCCCTATGTTTACGAGATTGACTTTGTCAAGCCTGAAGCACTTTCTGCCATCCTCGAGTTTGCCTACACCTCAACCCTCACCATCACCACCTCAAATGTCAAGCACATCCTCAGCGCTGCCAAGATGCTGGAGATCCAGTGCATTATCAATGTATGCCTTGAAATCATGGAGCCTGACAGAGAGGCAGAAGAGGAGGATGACAAAGAGGACGAAGATGATGACGAAGACGAAGATGAAGATGAGGAAGAAGAGGAGGAGGAGGAAGAAGTGGAAGATTTTGTCAATCAGGAGAACCTAACTGACGTCCAAGAAGTAAGCTGTCACCAAAGCCCTTCTAAGTCTGATCTTACCGAAGAAGCATATACGGAAGCACCTAAAGACTTTCCAAATCACTACCCGGCCAATAACTCCTCTGGGCACTTGGGCGTGATACGAGACTTCTCCATCGAGTCCTTGCTAAGGGAAAACTTGTACCCTAAGGCAAACATCCCAGAAAGGAGGCCAGCTCTCTCTCCTTTCACCCCGAGCTTCTTCCCCCATCTATGGAACGGTGATTTTAGCTCCTTCTCCCAGCTCGAGGAGCCACAAGTAGACAACGGCCCCTTGGATCTGGTGATCAAAAAGAGGAAGATCAAGGAAGAAGAGGAGAAGGAAGACCTGCCTCCACCTCCTTTCCCTAATGACTTCTTCAAGGACATGTTTACCAACACCCCAGCAGCTTCCTTAGGGCATATTAAGGCAGAGGCTGACTATAGCGCTTATCTCAATTTCCTAAGTGCTACCCAGTTTGGAGGAGTTTTTCCCCCATGGCCTCTGGAGGAAGAAAGGAAGATAAAGCCCAAGGCGTCCCAGCAATGTCCCATCTGTAACAAGGTCATCATGGGAGCCGGCAAGCTGCCCAGGCACATGAGGACCCACACAGGAGAGAAGCCGTATATGTGCAATATCTGTGAAGTCCGCTTTACCAGGTGTGCATTGGTCACCTCTGCCACGCGTGGCTGTGTGTGGGGAGGGGGGTGGTGGTGGTTGGAGAAGCCGTGTCATGACCCATGGCTGATTCCTAAGCTACACATCCCTTTTTACCCCCCAAAAAAGTAGCAAAGCAAGCAGGGCGTGATCTCTATCCCTTTGGAAAAAAAGGGAGGGCGGAGGAAGAAAACGAACCTACTGATTTTGGTGGGTTGTGGATCACATCCACAGCTCACTGGATCCATCTCCTCACTCGACAAAAGCTTAAATAAGTAACAGGATATTTTCAGCCCCACCATCGTTCACCACAGTTGGACCAGAGGGAGCTGGAAAATAGTGGTCCAACAGCCAAGGAAGCTTTGTCTCTAATGTGCTGGGAGATGTGTTGAGCTGGGAGGGCCACTTAGCTGCGGGATGTAATTAGTTTGGGTTTGCACGTTTTGGCATCAGTGTAGACCACGATGAAGTTGCACATGTTTAGACATGACAGCGTCTAGGCTTTCTGAGGCTAGTCCTAATTACTATACGTTAGTAGTGAGGTGGGTGTTGGTCTCTTTTCCCAGGTAACAAGCGATAGGACGAGAGGAAACGGCCTCAAGTTGCGCCAGAGGAGGTTTAGATTGGACATTAGGAAGAATTTCTTTATGGAAAGCATGGTCAAGCACTGGAACAGGCTGCCCAGGGCAGTGGTGGAGTCACCATCCCTGGGGCTGTTTAAAGGATGTGTAGATGTGGCGCTTAGGGACGTGGTTTAGTGGTGGGCTTGGCAGTGCTGGGCTAACGGTTGGACTTGGTGATCTTAAGGGTCTTTTCCAACCTGAATGATTGTATGATTCATCACCCTGAACGCTGGCCACCCAAGAGCCTGGCACCTCAACTGCCTCCGTGGTCAGTGGAAGGAGCTCAGCACAACCAGAGAGTCAGATGAGGAAAGATGAGTGAAGGTGTCATCCCTGACCACAAAGACAACCTGCAGGGCTTACCTAGGGCAGCTGACTTTTGGGTATCTCCAGTTAGGTGAGATCAGCCCCAACACGGGCTGCTCCAAGGCAGGCATGACCAGCCAGATCCACCCCTCGTACCAGTTTCCAGCCTTCGTACCCCTCTTCACCCCAGCGGACCCCCCGATGGTAATAAGTGGGAGTGGGCTACGCAAGTCTAATGCTACAGCTTGCAACCCTTCTCTGAAAAGCTGGGTGAATTTAATCGGTGAGCAGAGACAAATAGATTCCTGGACCTGCTCTTGCTGGGTATAATTAATACCTAATGAGTACAATCTTTACCATAATAATAAAGCTTTCTGACAAGAGCATAGTATTTCAGCTCCTGGCTGCGTGTGAGAGAGAGAGCCCTATTAGGCTGGGGCGAGCAAACCAGAGCAAAATAATATGCACAGTAGGCAAAGGCGAGCTCCTGACAATGGCCGGACACCTGGGGTGCTCCCACATTCAGCCTGTCTTTTCTTCTCCCATCCCTGTGATAATATTCGAGTGGAAGTTATGCAGATGATGAGGATCTGACCTGAAACTAAAATTCCATGCTCCCCTCCGTTAACGCAGCAGACGCTGCATTACAATGCGGGGAGCATCGTGCCTCGGGCGGGTGTGTGCAGTGTGAGCTGGCTCACCCTGGTATTTGCAGGGGAAAGGCCACTGCCCGGTGCTAATTCCTGCCTGCAGGAATTTGGATCCGGCTCCTGCTGGTGCTGCATCCCCAGGTTAGCGCTGGGTCCTCACCTCCAGCCAGCCGGGCTCTGCTGGGAGGAGCGGGATGCGTTCAGCCCGATGAGTTTGGCTGCAGCCCGGGCTGCAGGGACCACCCAGCCAGCCTCGTCCTGTGGTCCCCCATCGCTCTCCTGGGTGTGATGCTGCGGGTGCCAATTGCTGACGAGGAAATAGCTTGGCTTGACCCATCACCAACACCTTCCCCGTAATGGGAATAATGGAGCTGAGCCCTCCCAAAGTCCTTTGCAAGCAAGGGCAGCATTGTGGCCTTCATTTGGGGAAACTGAGGCACAGAGAGATGTCGATACTGACTCATAGTCGCTGCAAAGGTTAGTAGGAGGGTTCAGGTGGGAATTCAGGTATCCTGACCCCTAATCCAGACAGGTTAAATCAGCATCTTGGAGGTTAGAAGCTCTGTGCAGCGATGGCCTAGCATGGCCCATGACTAAAGCAGGGTTAAACCTGAGAGCTTCTACATCCCCCCATACTCTCAACAGCTTCTAAATACAAAGCACAGGGGTAGGAGGACTTTAAGCCAAGAAAATAATCACAAAGAAAATAGGGACTAACCCAACGGTGCAGTCTCCCCTTGTCATTCACGAAAACGAAGCCGTTCATTTGAGTCACCCCGCACAGAGCAGAAGCCTGGAGGTTTTTTCCTTCTCTAACAGCCTGAGCAAAGTGGAAATTTTCGAAACATTGGTTTATTTTTAAATGTATTTGAAAGTATTTTGAATAGCACACAGCTGTTTGTTTTTCTTTGGGTTTGGTGGGGTTTTTTTTAGCCATTTTCAGCATTACTCTGATGTGAGAGCTCTCCTTTAGGGGAAAGTGTATTTAAGCAAAGTGGAGTGATTGAGATGTAGAAGGAGATTTCTGCCAGGATTTCCTGAATGCCACTACTTGCCTTACATGTTCTACTCTCTGGGGGGAATCTCATGCTTCCCGAAAGCATCGGGCTCGCACCCATGGCAATGAGAAGTGCCTTTGCTGGGCAGATGCAAGCCCGGACAGTCTCCCTTGGAGTTCCCCTGGGAATGGGGGTGCAGGGAAGCAGAGGTTCCCAAATGGGATTTCTGAATGAGTCAGTCCTTTGCCTTATTTCTGAGCTCGAGGAACTGTGGAGGAACAAATTTACTGGAGGGAAACAGAGAAAATACATTTTTTTTCCTGGGTGGGGAGTCCCCCAACCTCCCCATCAGATCTCTTCCCCTTCGTATCCCACGGCACCTGGATCTGCCACTCCCAACTTCCAGGGACATCTGATCGCAGGAAGCAGGACTTAATTTAATAGCTCATTAATTTTTTTCCTTAAACAAAGGCTGCTCAGCTTCTAGTCTGCTGTTTTACCCTGCTAAAACTGCAAATATGTCAGCTTTTCCACCCCAGAGTGCTCAAGGAGAAACTGTTCCAGCCAGAAAGGTTAACATTATTTGTTCCTATTATTTGTGTTGTGACAGCTCGCAGAGCCCTAATCGCTCTCCTAATGCAATTGCGTTAAGGTTATTCACACACACGGAGCGCGGTTCCCCTTCGGAGAGCCTGCGAGCCCGGCTCCCATCACAGCAAGGCCTGTGTTCCCCATGCCTCATCCCCCCCTGCGTGCTTCTCCACAGCCGGAGCATCTCTCCCCCGCCAACCTCTGAGCTTCTCCAGGTAGAGCCATAAAACCTCTCTTCCATCCCACGGAGATGGTGCCGGGGCAGGGAGGATTGAGTTTCTCCCCGTCTGCTGCCGGAGATGGGTAATAACCTGAAAAAAGCTTTGCCTGTATTTACATTATACAGTCCTGGCACGCTGCGTGTTTATTAGGAAAAGCGATCCTGCTAGGTTAAACATTACATCTATAGGTTTAAATTATATTATAGGTGGGGCTGGTAGCTCTGCTTTTTATTAACGTTTCCCAACTCTTCGCGTTACGAGTCCCTGCGTTGATCTGCTTACGACTGCGCTGCGCCTTATCCGTTTGGGATGAAATTTTCCACGCTGCTTTGCCTGCTGCTGAGAACTGATTTCAGCCCTCTCAGGGGAAACGCGCCCTCGTTAAAATCTTGGGGTAGCAGCATCTTTGAAAATTTCGGAGTGGGAAGTTGGGATCTGGCCCTGGGCTTGGCGTGGGGACCGAGAAATGCTTTTCCTTTTTTAAGTCTCCCTAAAAATCTGCGTGAATCGTAAACCTCTGTACAGGCAGGGAGCACCTCCACTGCCTACACTGCTGCTGCAGAGGTAGGAACAGGCTGAGACCACTTGCCCGAAGGCGACAAAGCATTAGCTGTTGAAGAAGTGACTCTCCTGCTAGGGATACTTCTCTGCATCCTTGATCCCGAGGGACTGGTTTGCAGGGATGCCCAATCCCAGCACTGCACTCCTCGTGGCGTGACCGACACCAGTCACGTCACCAAAAACTATTTCAAGATGCACATGGGCAGAGCGGCAGAAATAAGTGCAAAGGCAGCACCTTGCAAGTTTTCAGGGCTTGACCTGCCAGCCTAAATAGATTTTTTGGGCAGTTTTTGTTTTGTTTTGTTTTCATGCTTACATATTTTAGAAGTAATAACAGCACGACTCCATATATTCTACATATTCTTAGCCACGTTACTAATGTCTTGGAGGGATCGTACTGAAAGCATTTTGGCAAACAATATAAATTCTCTCACTTTGCTGTTTACTTGAACTCCACTGGTGCAACCTTAGGCAGCGTGGTCGGCTCAGTTCAGCTACAATCGGTTTTTATAACCGTATGCCTTAGCTGTGATTTTTGTAGACTGCAGAAGGAAACATTTATTTATTGGAAAAAAATAATAGCGCTTCGACTGCCAGCTTGGGAAAATATCCTTGCTTTTAGAAGTGCCCCTTACGAAAAGAAAATAAATTTGTCAGTAAGTGCCATTGGGATGGGTATCATGCTGTCCCATGGCTATATTTAAAACCCTGGGTGAGGCTGGATGGGTGCCGGCCTTGGAGAAGGTGGCGGGGAAGGACAGTGGGTGCAGAGCGCCCGGGCGCTGCCTGCACCTCTGCCTGCCTCACCCTGTGCCAAGCTCCTGCTGCAAACGAAAGCTCCTGAGACACCCAGTGGTCAGCGCAAGGATAAAAGGAAAGGAAAATCATCTCCAAGGGGGACTTCATTGGAGCAGCAGTGCCCCACAAGCTCAACTGATTTTGTGATTTTCAGGCAGGAATATAGCTGTACTTATTTAGATATTCCCATATGCTTTGGGGGGTTATTCAAGAGGGTTTTTTTCTTCCAGTCTAGGCTGTTTTGAATTCTCTGGGATGGACTGCAAGCTGCTGACGTGGAGGGCTGGGTGTGCGCGATGTTTAGGCGCTGTCACGCCGGGACGGGGGAGGCGGATGCAAATGCCATCCTGCGAGAGCGTCCGTCGATGAGGGGAAGCCCCGGGACGAGCTCCCCACCTTCCCGTTGCTTTTCCCTCCCCTGATCCAAGGAGCAATCCCAACCGCACCCCTTCCAGCCCACACCACCTGACCGAGGGCCTTTTCTTTTTTTTTTGCAGGCAGGACAAGCTCAAAATCCACATGCGGAAGCACACGGGGGAGCGGCCGTACCTGTGCATCCACTGCAACGCCAAAT